AGTAATCATGACTAGGTCATAAAGAGTGTTTTCTACCGGATAATTTGCATTGTTGTAAAACAACCGGTAGAGCTTAAAATGAGAAAAATGAATTTAGAGACATAATTTGGAAATTCTGATGCTAAATAAGAGTTTAGAATGAAAAATTGTACAGTCTGACACTTTCCGTGAAAATCACATGAATAGTGTTTTTATGACGGGTATTTGTACTGCTGTTTAAGCAACCGGTAGAGTGCAGAACTAAATAATTGATGAAATAAGAATAAGAAAGTCCAATATATGCCAAACAAGTCATAATAGACCCAAGAATGATAAGTTTATAATTTTCAAGTTTCGTAGCAAATGGTGCACAGTTAGTGATTCACAGTGCATTTCGTCAAAAATAGTGCATAAACCATACTATGAATTATGAATATTGTTCCTTAGTGAAAATATGTTTGTAGCTTTAAGTTAGTTCCGGGTCAGTTTAAGTGAAAATACGCGAAAAAAACAACCGGTAAAAAAGCCACATGTGCTTATAACTTAAGTTCCTTCCAAAAGGTCACTATTCACATCAGATTTCTCCTTTCTCTCTCTCCTTGGCCGAGTTCCACCATTGGAGAAGCTTAGGCTCTGCTTGATTTCTGTTCGCAGAACAATTTTTAAATTTTTAAAAACAATAAAACAAAAAAAAAAATTTGGAAAGAGTTTTTCGTCGGATCTGTTCTAAAAACAATGATTGTTTTTTTGTTTTAAAAACTCAAAAAGCAAAACAATACCTGGATGTTTTCTAAAGTTCTTTTCCTGTTTTTTGATTTGTGCATTGGCATTTTTGTAATTATGAGGTTTCATTAATGGCATTTTCGTAATTAAATGGATTTTAATTTTAATTTTAAATTATTTTACGGTGGCAATCTTGTAAATATGAGGATTCATTAGTGGCATTTTTGTAAATAACTACAACTTCTTTATAATTTTAAAATTAACTATATTCAAACAAGTTTTATTGTTTTTTTACTCTCAAAATCAGTTTTCAAAATTTATCTTCAAAACAATTTTTAAAAATAAAAAAAACAAAAACACATTCAAACATACCCTTAGGTTTTCATTTTTGTTTTCCTTTGATTTCTCCTTCCATTTTCAACCAAATGCGTAAGTGTATTACACAAAATTCATAGCAAATCACCCAAGGAATCCATTCCACCATCTATTTTGGGCTGAAAGTGCTTGTAGAAAGAGCTATACTCTTCTCCCAATTCGAATCATTATTCATCAAAGAAAGAAAATGTGGTTTTTCATGGACCTTTGCTTGGAAGTTGTTGTCTAGGCTTGGTATAAGGGATTAGAGGTGAGAAATCTCTATTTCCATGGTTTGATTTTTGTGATTTAAGTTTTGAAATTCTTAAGTATATTTTGGTGGGAAACTTGAGTTTGAAATTTGAAATTTGTGATGAATTAGTGTTGTGTAGTAAGTTGTAATGTGGAATAACCATGAACATGTGTTTAAAATTTAAGAAAAAATCCCCCTTGAACTCACCCTAGAATTCGCCATAATAGGTATTTAGGGTTTGATGTGCAAAAATTTAATTGCATAAATTATGAAGGTTTGGATATTGGTGTATGTTGAGATTAAGTGTAATAGTGAGAATACCAAAGTGGAAAAAATTATATGGTATTATATCCCTATGTTTCGGCCATGATGCATCATAGAATTTGATGTTCAAAATTTAATTGGACAAATTGTATAGATATATATATGTATGTGCAAGTTGAAAATTAAGTGGAGAAAATGGATTGTAAAAGAAATGAAACCCTTGACTTTTCCTTATAAATTCGACCTATAGGGTAAATTAAGGATGGATTAGGTTACATTTTGTTTTGGTAATGTGTTGAATTTCCAATGCATGTAAATGATAAGATTAGGAAGTGAAATGACTTGGGAATTGTTAAAAATTATAAATGGTATTTTAGAAGATTGGTTGGGTTATTTTAGGACCCTAGTGAGTAAGAAACCATGAGGGTGCTTGTGGTTCATGAAACCATCCTTAGAATGGTCTAATAAAGAAATTAGGAAAATTACGGTCTTGACTTGTGTATTGGCATAGAATTGGCATAAGTGTGAAGAAATGAAAGTAAGCAATAAGATGTGTGCCTTGTGTAAATTTCATGGCATTGTAGCATTTTATTGATTTTGTTTTGAATTCTTTCTTTAGGCGTGCCTAGGGACTGAGAGGGTTTGAATTTCCTTTGGAGATAAATAGGTAACTTATGTTACAAGTGAGTAGATTGGTAAAGCTTCCAGAGGTAAGCTCTATGTTTAAGGAGTATTTTCCTGCTTGAGTGTTCCACCATGCATGGTTAGTGAACTATGGTTGGATTGTATGATTGTATTTGATGCTTTGTATAGATGCATTCATATAGAGCTATTTGATAGCATGATATGATTTGTTCTGATATGATTTCTGTATTGATCTTTGGCCATTGAATTGTTTGGTGCACTGAAGTCCGCTTGGGGTCCTCCCTCGGGACTGATTGTGTACACCTCTGTTATGTTCTGGTTTCGCTTGGGGTCCTCCCTTGGGAATACGTGCGTTGATTTTCGCTTGGAGTCTTCCATTGGAAATGATTGCGTACGCTTCTGATAAGATATGTAGATATACTTTGTTCTGTTATGATATATGTTATATGATGTGATGTATACTTTGTATCTGACTTTCATGCAGGAGTGGGCCCAGGGGTATGGAGAATTCTCTATAAACCTGGAGCTTACTGAGATTTGTTATCTCACCCCTTCTTGGGGACATCATTTCAGGTGCACAGGTTGCCGCTGAGCCTTCACGGGGCAGGGATACGACCCGTGGTTAGAGTGTATCGCGAACCAGATTTTTGAGTAGCTGTAGGCTACTGCCATTTTGGAGTATATTTATGTTGCTTCGTATTCCATTATTTTGTGGATCATGATGTCTGATCCTTTATTTTGTATATGGCCTGTATATGATTTGTACATGTTTTCTCTTTGATGCATGTATAATTGTGTATTCAGGCATGTTCATATTACGATGTAGTATTTAGTTATATGATTACCTGTTGGATATGCATGTTGTTAGACATAGTGGCACGGAGCCAAATTATGCATGCGCCCATGAATGGGTATATGGTCCTATATGGATGTCTGATACTTCTGAAAGCAAATATGATGTAAACTGTCTATCAGGAACCCTTGAGAGTGGGATTTGTAAATCCCCAGTTGTTCAATTTACAGAGGTTACTCTGCTTGATTTTCATCTTCGTCAAATAAGAATTAAATTAGGAGAAGTATGCAATGTGTGATATCATGTGAAAAGGGATTAAAGAAAAGAAAAAGTTAGCTCGTATTTTTGTAAGTTAAGTCTTCCGCTGTTTCTGTTTGTATCATATGTATGTTAATTGAACTGGCTCGAGACGGGGATGTTACAATTTTCAGACAAAGGACCTTGGAAGACTCTGGTATTCCTTAGGGATAGAAGTGGCCCAATCCAAAGACGATATTATACTATCACGAAGGAAATGTGCTATGGACATTCTTGAGGAGACAACTCTGTTGAATGCTAAGATAGTCGATACTCCTATGGATCCAAATGTCAAGCTTCTGCCAAATCAGAGGGAGCTATTTTCAGATCCAGAAAGGTATAGAAGATTGTTGGGAAACTGAACTATCTCACAGTCACTCGACCAAACGTCTCCTTTGTAGTCAGTGTAGTGAGTCAGTTCTTGTATTCTCCCTGTAAATATCACTGAAAAGCAGTGATTTGTATCCTCAAGTACATTAAGACTGCTCCAGGTAAAGGTTTCCTCTATAAAAACAAAGGTCATACCAGAGTTGTGGGATACTCATATGCTGATTAGGCAGGTTCCCCATTGATTGAAGATCCACATTTGGTATTGTATATTCGTTGGAGATAACTTGGTTTCATGAAGAAGCAAGAAGAAAAATGATGTGGCCAGATCAAGTGCTGAAGCAGAATATCATATTGTACGGCCGCAGCTACCTGTGAACTCATCTAGTTAAAACAACTACTGAAGGAACTCAAGTTTGGAGACACTGGCCTAGCATCTCTCATTTGTGATTATCAAGTTGTTTTGCATATTGCTTCCAATCCAATGTTTCATAAAGGACTAAGCACATTGAGATAGATTGTCATTTCGTTAGAGAAAAAAATCCTCTCAAGAGATATAGTTACTAATTTTGTCAACTCAAGTGATAGACTTGCTTATGTATTCACTAAGTCTTTGAGAGGACCTAGGATAAATCACATATGTAACAAGCTTGGTGCACATGATTTATATGCTACAACTTGAGGGGGGAGTGTTGTAAATGGTAGGTAGTTTAGTCCCATATCATGTACATATTTGTGTATCTCTGATTTCGTTTGTTATATAATGGAACCTCCTATATGTAATTGACACAAGGATTACAATCAATTCCTCTTGGGTTTTGATATTTAACACAAAAAAATCCACATTAACATATAAGAATATACTAGGGTTTTGCTTCACATACATGTACCTACCACCGATTAATATTCATAAGGAGATCTTTCACCTTGAATGTTCCTCTCACTTTTACCACAAAGCTGCTTAGACTTGTCGTCTCGTAATTTTTCCCCACGTTATGGAAACAAATTGAGGGCGGGCCTTGTAGCAGTAATAAGGTTGCTTTTTGTGATTGAAAAATCACATATTTGAGTATGATCAGAAATAGCCTCTTTGAAAAATGTAAGGGTAAAATTTCATACAGTTGACCTCCCATTCCTACCCTCGTTAATCGGAGAACCTTGTGCCTGAATTTGACCTTTGTTATGGAGACAAATTGCATATTGGATATAAAAGTGACATAAATGAAATAGTCCTACATCAGAGCCACTTTATTCTTGACTCAATATCTTCTGACATCTCTGCACAATTTAAAGTAACATAATTGGCTTGGTAATTTCCTGTATTAGAAATTTCTAATCCAAAAGAATGTTCTTTAACCATCATCACTATGTACTTACAAGGGACATCAACTCAACATTTTTGGTTTCTGAAGTGTCAATAGCCACCTTTGAATTCATTCTTTCGCTTGGAAGAATGGAAGAGTTGGGATCAGCTCTAGGCACCAAAAACAGCAGGCAAAGTGGGGTGATTCGTATAATGTTTCGGATCAAAATAGCCAACCAAAGATTATCAAACCGTGTTCTTGTAATCTTTAGTATGTGGAGTACAAATCCTCCTCCCCATGATGCTGAGAGAAGTCCAACATTATCAATTGACATTAGCAGAGCAAAGAAGGTGCCTTCAATACCTGCGGGGCAAAGCTTTGAACTGAGAACAAGCATAGGCATCCACTTTAGCCTATTAGTCATTTGAGCTATGCTTTCAGCTATCACAACAAAGAAATAATCTGGTACACCAAACTTCAGGTTCCATCTCAAGACCAGAATTTGATCAAGCATCCCTGACAAACCATAAAGCAACTGAGTCCAGAAGAGCAAGTCTCTGAATGCGTAATCCTTTAGAGCATACTGGTATAGTATTGCACCTAAAAGGGACCCCACTGAACTAACAGAAAATATTAAACCGATATTCTCCTGTGTAAGAAAATGGATGACAAAGGTTACTGAAGTTCTATACTCTATCATCTTCTATTTAACAAAATTATATAACAAGAAAAATACTAATCAACAAATTTTTCATTCAACTTTAGCCAAATTAAAAAACCACATCCTAACATCAATGAATAAGCCTAACCAAATACCTGAGAGAAAGATGGTCCATCCTTTGAGTCTGTATACCAATAAAACATTCCTTCAAGGATATTCAAACTCAATGCAAGGGATAAATACATGTATAAACAAGGTCTCCATACTTCTTCACTCTTTAATGTAGTCCACATAACCTTGCCAGCATGAAGAAAATTTTGGTTCACCTAGACACAACATGGAAAATCAGATTATATATGCGTGTATTAGGACTAAGGAAATGACACAAACTAGTTTTACCTGTCTGTAAGAAAAGTTGTGCATACGAGGTTCATCAAGTAGAAAACCAACCAAAATTACAAGTCCAGCTGGGATAGTCATCAAACCAAACACACCCTACAAGGAAAAAGCTCTCATAAAATACAAGTCATGAAGTACATTAAAGACAAGGAAAAAAATTTAGCAGATTATAGGGAAAAAAGTTTCCAAACGCTAACCATAGGGCCTATAAGGCGAACAAAGATACCACTAATGAAGAAACCTAATAGTGATCCCACAGAAGAACTGAAGGCACATAAACTTTGCATGTCAGGGGCAAGAGAAGGATGAGAGATACTGTTCTGTGCCACACAAGCATCAATTGTTACATCTGCTATTGCCACCCCAGCACTCCCAGCTGTTAATAACAAAAGGGCCAACACAAGATGCAGGTTTTCATGCAAAGATAACAAAAGCATTGCAATCACTACCAAGAAACCTGTAACCATCAAAGAGGAGCTGAAAGTCAGACTACTGTGTTAGTGAAGCAATTTCTGAATCTCTTCATCAATCCTTGCAGGAAGCATTAATCTGTGATAAAGGACAATGTTAAATCCTCAATAAGAAACTCATAAAATGCAAATGTTCCTGGTTGTAGTCCTTCTAAGTATATCTGAAGAAAAGTGTATCTGAAGAAAAACTAACTTTACTGATTCTTAATACACATTATATAATAGTAAAAGTAAAAATTCATCTTCATAGAGAGACTACATCACTTCCTTCCCTTGTTAAGGATATGATATGTCTAACCACATAATCTAATTGAAAAAAGGCAAAAGAAAGAGGTAAGTAAATACTTCAGATGATCATATTATCATAATGCGGATACTAATTTCTTTATCCAGACTAAGGTAGGATATGAATCCCTGTGCATATGCACAGGTGTGTACACAGTAACCCCTTCACATTAAGTGTAAATAATAAATCAATGAGCTATTGAAATATATACTTTATATATACAAATTCTAAAAATAATGAGTGTACCGAGAATTAAATTTTAATTTCTGTGTTATAAAAAAAAAGTAAGTACCCAAAATTTATACTTTAAGCGTAATTTAATTGGTTTCATGTAGAGAAAAATATGCGAGACTATTTAAGATCAGTTTATAAACTTTTGGAGTATCAATAGATTTTCTACTGATATTTCATACAAACAAAAAATCAATATAAACCGATATTGTACTATAAAAAAAATCATTCACATTCTATAAGATATTTTTTTTATTAATTTATTATTTTAACAGTAAATTATATTTACAAGATTTTATCATTATGTTTATTATTAAAATAGTATTATTAGAATATATATTATTGTATTTATAATTATAATAGTATTGTTATAGTATTGTATTATCTTTTTCTATAAATAGAAGATCTGAGACTAATTATTTATTAAGGGAATTTTTTTAAAAAAAAACCCTTACAGTATTACTTTGAATAACTTACATCTAGGGCTGCTAAACGAGCCAGGGGCCTTTGCCTCGGCTCGTGAAGGTCTGAGCGTACATGTCTAAAATTGATTGTTGGATCCAAGCTTGGACTTGTATAAAAGCTCGTTTAATAAAAAGGCCTCAGGCTCCAATTCAAAAGCTCGTCCTTAGAGCCTCTCAGGCTTGCCTAATATTTTATTTTTTTATTTTTATTTTATTTTTTATACTACTTGTGATAGTCATCTCTCTTCTCAATTCATTTCATCCCATTTTATTAATTAAACATACTTTTTGAATGATTTTATTTTATATTATGCTATTTGGATATACATTAAATTTATGAATATTTATGAAATTACTAGTGCTGTTGATTGTATATTTTGTTTGGATAAATTTTTGTTGTCTTATTTTTTTTAAAAAGGCTAACAGGCTAAACCAGGCTTTTGTTTTTTGTAAATGAGCAAGGCCACAGGCTGATATTATATTCGTAATATGTAACAGGCTAAGGCCAGTCTGACACATTTGAACACAGGCTCGGCCCGTTAAGACCAAAGATCGGCTCGTTAACACCCCTACTTACATCCCTATGTTTTTTTTAATCACTTAACGTCTGTGATTTTTTCCATCCACACTCCTGCTTAAGACTGTTAGGAATTTAACTAAGTATACTTATTTTATCTTTCTTAGAAGAAGAAAAAAAGTGATAAAAAAGAAAAGAAAAAATAAGACCAAATGTTATTAAAACTTAGAATACTTAATAAAAGACTAAAATAAAAATAAATTAAATTAAATGTCTCTAAATAAAAAAAATAGAAAATAAGATCAAATATGTAAAAAATCACAACAAATCAACAATGATAGAAAAGACTAGAACTAAAAAAAAAAAAATTAGTCCAAATGAAAAAAAAAATTGAAGACAAAAACTAGAAGAAAAAATTAAGATAAAAAAGAAAAAAATGAAGAAAAAAAATCAGAATTAAAAGTTTTCAATATATTTGATTTATTTATTTTTAAATTTTTTTTTTCGTTTTTGTCCTTGATCTATTTTATTCTTTTTTATTTGGATATTTTTGGTCTTTCTTCTTTTTTATTTTTCACTTTTTCTTCTCTCTCTTTTTTAGCCTTTGTGCCACCCCATCAACAAAAGATTTTCGTAAAAAAAATAAAATAAAAGAGAGAGAATAAAATAGAGATATAAAAAAGACCAAACATATATATCTAAATAAAAAGAATAAAATAGGTCAAGGATAAAAAAAAATAACTTTTTTTGTCCTTATTCTATTTTTTTATTTAAACACCTTTGATCTTTTTTTCTTTTAGTAAGTTTTCATATATAACGTTTGGTCTTATTATTCTTTTTTTATCACTTTATTATCTTCTTTTAAGAAGGGTAAAATAGGTATTTAGTCAAGTTTTTAATAGTGTTAAGGAGGGGGTGGATGGAAAAAACCACAAGAAGTTAAGTGATTAAAAAAAATTATAAAAGTGTAAGTGATTCAAAATAATAGCACTAGTGGATTTTTGAATTTCTCCCATTTATTAATTTAAGAATTGAGAAATAAATGAGAGAAAGAAGAGAGAGGAAAATTGAGAAACTTTAGAGTAAACTCTCCACAGAGAAGGGAAGAAAGAAGAGAGTGAAATTAAGTATGCTTTGCCGGCAGATGAGAAGAAAGAGAATAAATTCCAAAAAAAAAAAATTAAGGGAAACAGATGTGAAGATAACTTTTCTTTTCAAACATAAACCCTACGAATCTATGATAATATTATTTTTCTTATTTTGTTTCATATTTTCTTTTAAAACCGCAATTATTTCTTTTCATTCCGTGAATGACTATAACTTTGAAAATGAGAATTTTATCACTTTCAACATACATACATTATGACTTTTTCTTTTCTTTTTTTTAGATATTCCAATCATTTTATCGTTTCATGACTAGTCCGATTCTAGGCGGTCTCAGGATTAAAGCTTTAAATCTCTTCCAAGGACAGTACTGGGGAGGATCGAACACATACTCTCACTCCTAACTGCTCAATTCTTTAGCATCAACTAAACTATCATCATTTGGTACATAAATTATAACTTTGAGTTATACCTGTGCTATGACATTTTGAGCTATACTTATGCATAAAAGGACCTTAGACTTTTGCAAAACTTGTAAAACGGAGTGTAGCTACATATAAAATATGAAAAAAGTGTTTATCCTTTTAAATGACACAACTTATATCCTTTCACTCTCATAAAGAGGTGGGACCCACACCTTTATATTTTTTTGTCCACTCTCTCTCCTCCTTTATCTATCTCTTTCTCTCACTTAAAATGACACAACTTTACATCCTTTAAAATGATACACACTTTTTCCATAAAATATTTTGCGAGGATGAACAATTATGATTATAAGGCCCTCCAGACTTGAATATGACCTTTTTGCTAGATAAGGAATAAAACTTAAAATAATGAGGGGGAAAAAACTTCTTATAATTCCCCCTCTCATGAAGATAAACTCTCTAAAATGAATCTATTTATATATATAATTTAATTTACTTTATTTTACTAATTAGTATAGCCTTATCTAAATTCTCTAAACTTCTTATATCCTTGCAAGGTATTAAGCTTTGATACAAAGGAAAATTCATAGTTAAGGAAAGAAAGTTTTCATTAGAAAAATGTTAATCCATTATGACAAAAATAAGTCTTAAGGAAGAATTATGATTTATACGATGATAGAAAATATTTTATGCATAAATAAGTTAATGACAATTTTAATTTATTTTTAGATTTTTTAAGGTATTATGATTTTAGCATTATTTATTTATTCTGTTTAATTCAAATCATGGAAAGAATTTTTCCGTACTGTTATCTTTATTCTTTGCATCAATTTCTCCTTAAGGGTGTATTTTTTTTTTTTTAAATATCGATCGATGTTTAAGCACTAACGGGTTCGATTAATCCAGTTTTGGATTTGAGCTTTTCCAATTTCACTAGAAGTTGGGAATCGAACTTATTATCTTTTGGGTAAATCAAATCCTAAAATTTAGGTGGGTCACTACTAAACCAATTACCCTTGAATAAATATGTGTTTTCATATATTCAAACTGAGTTCATTTTTTTATGCGATGAATGCAGATAAGTTATCTTCATTGAGCTCAAAACAACATTGTTTTGAGATAAAAATCAAGATATTTTTATAACTTTAATTTATTCTAAAATTATAATAATTTTTATTATTATAATTTTTTAATCTTTCAACCCCAGAATGAAATCGTGTTAGAAATGAATAGAGATAACTTATTGGTATTTACTATACAAAGATTAAACTCGTTCAAATTATATGTGAAAGCTTTTGCTGGTTTTATTTTAAGATGGAAAAGTCATTCGAGTTGGTAGGATTTTTTGAGCTTAGTTACTAAGTTTTTAATTTGAAATATTATTTTACTTTTGTTATGATTTTTATATTTAATAGATGTGTCTTTTTTTCTCATGTTGCTGCAAAAAAAATCTTCTTATGTTACCTGTTATAATTATGTAATTACATAGTTATAATAAGAAAATTATTGTTCTCTCTTTACGTTAGCCCGACAACTTATGAGGAGAGAGAAAAAACAGTTTTAATATTATAATTATGTACTTCCTGAAATACATAATTATAATGAGTGAATAAGATAAAAAAATATATAATACCTTTATAATAAAAGACTTATAATTTGACATGCATGAGTTATTATATGAAAGATTTATAATAAAAGGTAAATTCTAATACACAACTTATGAGGATAAGAGTGATGGTCAATTATACGTAATACCTTTATATTTTTTACAAGAAGACTCTTTCTCATACTCGATCACAAAAAGTAACCTTACGGCTTCTCCAAAACTCTTACACTTCTAATTTATTATTTCTTTATAATATATACATAGTTTTTTAACAGAAAATAAAAAATAAAATGATATAAATAATTAGGTGATGTTACATAAGCTACTAAGCTTCTCACACAAAGCACCTGATTTTTCTGCCCTGTTCTCAAAGAGAATAACATGCCCTTAGAATACTAATGTGCTGGCTTCGTGTAATGAGTAGCATACCCACTTATGCTAATGCTATATTACAGAATTAATCGCTTTGATGTCTGAATGAAACCTATTTCAGACATGAGTTTCAGCATTAAGACATTCCTGATTCCCCCAAAACCGTATATTAAAAACGAAAAGTATAAAAAGCAATGGTTTACTATATCTTAATTCCATGGCATCTAAAATGCAATTTATTATATATGTGCCACATCTATTATTGTGGAGCTTCAACTTGGTATATGTATATATACTGTGCTCACAAGTCACAGTATTGACAAGTTTATGATCCATTGAAGTTCATTCAAGCTGATAAAGATCAAGGAAAACATCCAGAAGAAAAGGATACAAGAAAAATAAAGTTCCAAAACATTTAACGAGTAATAACTAAATTAAAATTCCCACATAAAACGTGAATTTGAGTTGAATATATGTAATGTATTTGAATTTTGAACCTAAGAAGATAAGAGAATATATGCACAATGTGTTACATACCAGAAAAAATGAAATAAGGTCTCCTGCGATATCCAAAAATTGGGAGTACATCAGTGAGAAGACCCCAAAGAGGCTTCACAATCCAAGGAATTGATGTAATTCCTGCATAAACCTGTGCTTCAGATGGCTGCACCTTCTGAACATCTTTCATGTAATATTTAGTGCCAACATCATCAAGAGCTCCACCTAGTCCCTGGCTTATTCCATTTACTACCACCACCCCAAATACAAAACTCCAATGCATTTCCCTTGAAAGCATGTTAAACCAGTCCCACACCCCATTTTTGGCTTCATTTTCCTCCATAGATTCCCCAATTGGATCTTCCTTATTTTTCTCCTCCTCCATTGTCACCCCAATAAAGATTCAGGATTAAATTCAACAATCCATTTATGTTATTAATCTCTTATAAATGCAAGTAAAAATTTTTACCATAGACCCAACAATTAGCCTAATACTTTTCTAGACCCTTAACATAGCCAGAGTTTTATTACATTAGATTATTTTTTTAACTATAAAAAAAGGATTTTGTAAAGTAAATGATGAGCTGGACCAAGAGGTAAATTGGAAAAAGAAACGAAGAAAGGAACAAAATGAAGGAAAACGAAACCAATGAGTTTGATTTGTAAGAATGGAAGTGGGTGCCACATGGTGCCGGACCTACTGGAAGGGGTAAATCAATTTCAGGATTAGTAACCTTTTAATATAACAAATGGGTAAATTTGATGTTTCCTAGGTCTGACCAATCAAACCGACAAAATAAGTCATTTCTTTTTTACTTTTTTTATTTTATTTTCATTCCGTTAATATTTCTCTTTTTTATTTTATTTTTTCTTTCATTGAGGTTTTGAGCATCACATCAAACAGCAAAACCAAGAAATTTTGCTTAGACCTTATAGTCTATTTTCGTAAGGTTGCTCTTTATGGTAAAAATTATAATTTTAACGAAGGGATATATTAACAGATATTCATTTATTACATATATTATATTCAATTTTCATCCCAAATCTTTTTAAAAACTCGCCCTGGTAGTTCTATCTTTGCTAGCATAGCATCTGATATATACTATTGCCACATTCAGCTAGGATTTTTTTTTTTATTAGTAGTTGGGACAAATTTTATGATTTTTACAAAAAATGATTTTATTAATATTAATATATTTTTATAAAACTTTAAAACTGAAATGGAAAGTCAATACATTGAAAAGAAATTTTCACAGTGATAATTTGATCTATTATTTTTACTTCTTTATTTGTTCATTAAAAGGTTAAGATTTTCAGATAGATTGATTTTGAAAATCACGTACTTTTAAAAAAAGATAGCCTAATCAAGACTACATAAGATTTCTTTGTTAATTTTCCCAAATGGCATTATGGCAGTATATCCTTACAATAAATAGCCTAAAAGTAACTTAATCAAGGTTTACACAAAAGTTGGAATGAAGATACTCTTATGTTGTAAATACACTCTAATTGTTTGTTATTGATCAATTTAATGCAATTTTCCGTAATTAATCCATACATCAAAAGCATATTTTCATTTTATACACAAATAAAGAGATTAAAAAAAGTTGATGCATAAAATTCAATATAGGTGAAATTATACTTTTCAACCATCAAAAAAATTAAAAAAAAAAATTGAACCTTTTCTTCGGTGAAATTATTTTTAATCCTTTTATTTTATATTTCATTTTCATCATATAATTATATTATTTTATTTTTAACCTAAATATTTTTTGAAAATCACCTATTTTGCCCATACCTCTGTTTCAAAAGAAAATAATCCTAGTTGGTCGTGTCAATTGTGAACTTATGTCCACCTATATAGTTTATCATATTAACAAATTTCATTAACATTTTTAGGAACAGTGACCAATTTACCACTGTTCATCATAAAATTTACCAGAATGTCACGCGCACAGTAAAAATTCTCAAACTGCCATGCAGGCTAATTCGCTACACAGTGTAGCGAATTAGGCCTGATGATGTGTCACGTCCTCACTGATCCATGTATTTCGCTACACAGTGTAGCGAAATACGTGGTCAAAAGGTCAGCCCGGTCAGTCACCTTTTGGACACGTGTCAAACCACCCGTATTTCGCTACACTGTGTAGCGAAATACGTGGCAACGATCACCTGCTGCCCTGCGCATGTCAGACACGTGGCAGTATGGCACTAATTCGCTGCCTTGGGTAGCGAATTAGGTGCAAATTTTTTCCTATATAAACCGTTCGGTCCCCACCCCCTCCCCCCACCATTTCCTCTCATCCTCTCCCTCACTCCCTCTCTCTCTCTAAGTGCATTCTCTCTCTCCAAGTGCATTCTCTCTACAAGGTTAGTAATTTATTTTATTGCTTTTATAATATGTTTGTTTCATTAATTATGTATTTTTTATAAATATGTTATATTATTTAGTGTTTAGGCTTGAAACTTTAGGTTAGTAAATATGTTATATTATTTAGTGTTTAGGCTTGAAACTTTAGGTTAGTAAATATGTTATAGTATTTAGTGTTGATACTTGAAACTTTAGGTTAGTGAATGTGGTATATTATTTAATGTTGATATTTCCAACCTTAGACTAGTAAATGTGATAATTTTAAATCATGCATAAATGATTAGGTATAATTTATTTAATTTATTATTTAAGCTTTAATACATGTGTAATGTTATTTAATTTTGGTTTTTGATACCTTAGGCTAGTAAAATGTGTTAATGAATTCCATGCTATAATGCTTATGCTAATATAAATAAAAAATTTTATTTATGCTGTAATATTTTGTGAATATTATTTAATGTTGGTATTTGAAACGTTAGGTTAATAAATGTGTGAATTTATTTTACGCATCAATGAATAATTAGGTCTACATAATTAAAAAAATTTCACAAAATATATAAACGTTAATAATTTATAAATTTAGATTTTGGGTTTAGGGTTTTAAAACCTTAGGCTAGTAAAATGTGTTAATTTATTTTACGCATAAATGAATGGTTAGGTCTACGTAATTAAATTTTTTTTATTAATTTATAAACGTTAATAATTTAGAAATATTGTTTAATTCTTTTAATTTTGAAACCTTAGGTTGGAAATTATGTGAATCTATTAAGTTATAAAATCGTAGGTTTAATTAATTTAATTTATTATTTATGTTTTAATACTTATTTCATTGTTAGTTACTGTTGATCTTAGACACGATAGGTTATCAATTTATTTTAATTTAGTTCAAGCAGTAACTTAAATGGAGAAAAACCTTTGAATTGTGCTTTTATTAATTTTATTTATTTAGCTAAATATTCATGAATTTTTGGTTGATGAATATTAATTTAATTGTTTTGTATTAATTTATTTAGATATGGAGCATGATGAGGCACCTCGTCCTGGGTCTCCACGCAGCGTGATTGACCCTAGGCCTTCAGACAAGACTCTCCTAACTTTACAGGAGAAACATATATCCACACATGTGTGGAACACCTGTGAGGATCCGAATATCCCGGATCGTGTGATTAATGTGCGACATGCTGCGACACATGATCACCGTGCCATTCCTGAAGAGATTGAGCCATGGCTGAGGCAGGGGAAAAAACGCAACATGTAATCCAGCCACCTAGGTAAGAACGCACACGACTCGTCCAGTCACCAAAAACTTTCACAATAGCCTTTTGCTTTGCCTTCCATGCCTTCCTATACGATATATGGAATCCAAGGCTAGTAGCGATCCTTTCTTGGATAAGGCCAATTTTGACACTGGGCTCCTCTCTTATCATTTCTGTTTATGTGGTCAAACAACATTGTATTAGTCAACAAGAGACAAAGTTTTTATAAATTTAATATGAATAACTGTACGCACCTAAGATCAATGTACAAATGAGATTTGAGTCCAACTGCTTGTGATCTTGGGTAAGAGATTGACTAACACATGTGTGTTCGTTGTTCCATATGCCTATCGCCCATTCGCTGCCGCCTTTTTTTTGGTATGCTCTCATCCTCATTGGACAAACCGCGTTATGATTTTGACAAACCATAATCAACCTTTTCGTATCACTTTTCAGAACGACTGTTGTGCGATGATTTGCCATACAATATTGTTTAATTGCCATCTGTACATCTTGCTTAGTGTCAAACATTTGGTCCTTATATAGCTCGTCGCCGATCTGCCAGTTAGGTATTTGTGCTCCATTCATATCATCCAATTCTTGATCTGGATATTCCCAATTAACATTCGTGAAATGGCTAACTCCAGACCAAAATGGTACATTATCATTTCCTGCATAATAAGATATCCAAAAACCCAATATATAATATTAATGTCGTTATATTTGATATTAGATATTTTATTGTAAAGCATTAATCCTTACGAACCTGCAACAGGAGGATCTTGCATTCCGACAATGCCTGGCGATGGAATTGGTTGTTCAACTGCAGTAGACGGACAACAATCAAAGTCACCATTGACATCCGTATCCGATGACTCGCTATCTGGAACAAGACCTTCATCACGCTCTTCCTCAGAACTATACATACGCCAAGATGGATCGTAGATGTCATTGGCTGGAACCGCTTCATAAAAAATTTCTTGGGTTGGTGGTGCAAGCGTTGGGGACGCGACCTCAACTTCCACATTAACCTCGGGCACCATGTTTATGTCGATGATGTCAGTGCATGGATTGCTCGGTTGACTGTTGGATTGTCCATCGTAGTTGACTTCTGCATACAATTCAATAAATCTTGACTTGCCGTGTTCAGAAGTGCTTGCATCTACTACTAACGTTACATCTTCATCGTCGACAATTTCCACACCAACCCATTGCACCGGGTTACCCGAGGCACATCTAGCGGTCAACCGAGCAAGAGTTTGACCACGTTGTAATCTTAACTTCTTGTATATTAACTTCTTCAGCTCGTGAAGATTGCATCTTGGGCTCATGCGAAACATTTTTGCATCACCTTCAAACACTTGCCCGTTTGGACCAAAGTATTTTCTTCCATCATAATAAACAGTTGCTATTAAATCATTCCTACCCTCACTCATCTTACAAAAATAGAAAAAAAAAACTAAGATTCAACAACAACACAAAAGTAGTAAACCTTAACATAAAAGGAAAAATTTGGTAGTGGTAGTTCATACCCGAAATAGAGTAATTTATAGCTCATAATTCGCTAGGAGGGGTAGCAAATTAAGTATCATAATTTCGCTGTACCCCCTAGCGAATTAGTGGGGAGATGACACTTGGCAGATATTACATATTTCACTACCAGTCATGCCAAAAATAACCACATAATTCGCTACCTAGTACAGCGAATTATGTGGGGAAGTGACACGTGGCCTGACTTTGAGTTGACATGAACTGACC